ACATGGTATGAACATTACTTCAGTATTATACGTCTGAGTAAGAAGTGCACCTGTCACAATAATTACCTTTTTGGACCAAATATGATCTGTTGTAGTTCATCTTTCAGTTTTAAGATCACAAGCAGGCCCATAATTCTTAAGAATATCCAGATGTTGGAATCATAGTGTAAAAAAAATGTAAGAAATGTCTGAAATGAAGAACATGAAACCACAAACCTAAAACAATAATATAAATGGACCGTTATCCTGACTCTGACTCTGGTGAAGATGCGTTGATAATGTAATCATTGTGACAGGTCAACATAAGCATAGAAAACAAAAATACAGATTTCCCAAAACAGTGCATAAAAGAGACGCGTCTGGTCTCAATCTGATTTGTTGCTAAATTTAAGAAACATTTCTCCTACAACTATTGAAGTTTGGTTTGTGATTAACAGCTAATAAACCGCTCATGTTTAGAATTGCCAGACAGATACAAATGATATTTACTGATGGAACATTTATTTCAGCAGAATTTGTGTCAATTTGATGACAAATGCTGGTTGGAACACGCAAAAGTTCTGAAGATTTGGTTTGAAGAAAAAAGATGTTTTTTATTGAATGAGGTTATTTGGTGATTCTATATTGTCCATAGATAATATCTGTATATACACACGTATGCCACCCCCTAACATCTATATGCCACCTCTTTGCCACCCCATTAGTATTTCTCTAGATCCGCCCCTGGCGCTAACTAAACTAGCATCAGCAGCCAAGTACTGCCTGTGTGTTCTGGACACTTCCACCCCGTCAGAGCGCTGCCCCGGGGTGGAAGTGTCCCCCGACCACACCCAATATTCTGATGTTCATCATTAACTGGGCCTGAACATCCAGAGAGCAGAAAGTTCTATTGGGACCAGAACTACTAGTTATTATAACAACTATGAACAATAATGAACAACTAATGAGCCTTCCAGCATCAAGCCCTCCTCGTATCTGGACCTCCGTCTGGACAATCCGACAGCCTTGATATCCGACATAGAAGAAGGTTTTACATGTAGTGTCGGATCATCGACTGTAGTTATGTTTAGTTGTATGTTACGGGTTGTGCGGTACTGGCTGTGTGTTGTTTCACACTAGAACAGAAAAGAAGCAATGGCTGACAGGAAGTATGAAACCAACAGGAGTAATATCCGACGTCTGCGTTGACGGTCAGCCTGCCGATGTCGTACGTGTCAATCATGTTGGTGTCCCACTTCTTGCGATAGCTGGTGTCGTGGAGGACGTCGTACAGCGTCTCCGCCATCACGTCTTTACACACTATCCTCATCTGAGACACAGAAGGAGAGAGAAGGCATGTTTTAACTGGACCAGACTGAAAACAGCAACGTCATGGTTCCTAGAAGCACAAACATGAGTTCTGTGTCCTGTCAACACTCTGCTGCTGAACTGAAGCCATATTGCTCCAGACAGAACCATGTCCACTTCAGATCCACTGACTCTCTTATCTGACCACTCAGGTGAAACTGAAGCTTGACACCTGCAGACCTGAACCCTCTAAACCCTGAGCAGCTTCTGCCACACTTCTCCACACGGTGGAGTCCTGCAGCTCAGTGGAAACAGAACAACATGGACTCAGAAATATCTCCAGTGAAGTACGACACAGTCATACTGGCTTCAAGTACAATACAAACACTATTTATCTTCAAACTTTAGAACTCGTCCAGTGTTTTTTCAAGTTTTTCTCCACTTTATCGACACTGGCTCCACATACTATAGATATTTAACTATTTCAGTTCTTACAGCCACGACAAAGTTTTTCTGTACATCAGCTGTAGACAGATGTTCCACCGACACTGGCTGCAGTTCAACCTAAAAACTCCACATTTTCACTGTTGGTCACAGAATCAGTTGTGCTGAGGAGGGAAGAAGTTGTTCATTATATATATATATATATATATATCAAGTAATCTTGATGAAAGATCTGGTGAACTTCCTGTCACAGACGAGTCGGTCGAGGACTGTGTGGAAGGTGAAACTCTGATCTTTCTGTTTTTACAGTTTCTTCCTGATAAATGGTGTCAGTTTGGAGGTTTCTCAAAGACAGCATGGCTTTGACGCCTGCCGGTTAAGAACGTCACAGGAACGATTTCTGTCTGCAGCAGTTGAACGTGTGGACTGCACACGGTGTTCGTAGTCGAGTGGTGAACTGGCTGTATGACGTTTGTGAGCCTCACTGAGTTCTACATGCAGCAGTGTGGGATGTGTTGTGTAACGTCTTCATGGGTCAGTCTGGCTCAGCTCAGGGCTGAAGCCTTCACCAGGTTGGTAGCTGCAGAATAAATGTGAGGCTGTGAGTCAGGCTGCAGCAAACGATTACCTTCTAGATGAATCCATCATCTGTAGAAGGTCAGAAAACATGTGGCTTGTTTTGTCAAAAGATATTCAGTTAATGTGACAGAGGAGGAAAGAAACAAGAAAATCGTGGCTTTGGAGAAGCTGCTGCAGTCACAGAGTTTCGAGCGTTTTTATTGAATTACCAAAACTGACTGACAATCAAAACAGAATCATTTATAGTTGACAACCCGCTCCAGAAATGAGTTCCTCTAGTTTTTACCCTTCTAAAACTCTGAACTTGACGCTGAACTCTTTTAAGTCTCTGGCTGGATCTGAACGTAGAAAAGTGTAAAAGGATGTTAACGGCCAACAGTTCTTTCATAGAACAAGCGCAGCCTGGTGAAGGTTTGGGGATGATGGTGGCAGCAGATCATAAAAATCCACAGCATCTCTCCCCCCTCAGCCTCTATAGCTGCTTCAGTGTTTTTAGTGAGTCTCTGGGGCAAAGAAACATCCAGTCAGCAGAACAATAAATGAACGTTCTCTTATTGAACCACTGAGAAAAACTCTACAGCCTTTTAATGGGAAGAGTCTGAGTCCCCGTGTTCAGATGTTGTTCCCCAGCTGTCCACCAGATGTCAGCAGTGACCATCCCAAGTCACACCTGAAACTGAAGCTCACCTGCCAGTGCAGTTTGAATCCCTGATATGTACGTTTTCTTTGTTTTCTTTGTGTCTGTGCTACTGAACCTGCAGAACGGACTCACAGGTATTTTTATATTTTCTTAAAACGACTCTTATGAAGACGTGGATGAAATCCTGAATCACTTCAACACAACCTGTTCAGCAATCCTTGACCAAATCGCTCCTTTTAAACAGAAAAGGCCGTCCTTTGCTGCCAGGCCACGGCTCTCTGACAACATAGGCGCCCTGAAGAGGGAGTGTGGCGTAAGTGGAAAGCCTCCAAGCTCACAGTGCACCACGAAACATTAAAGGAACGAATGACAAGTTTTCATTCAGAAGTCAGAAACATAAGAGCAAACTATTTCTCTGAGCTGATTGAGAAAAACAGACATAATTCAAGGACTCTGTTCAATGTAATTAATGATGCCACAGAAGCCCCTGCTGCTGTTTCATGGACTCTTCTCCAGAGAAATGTGAGGAATTTTTAAACTTCTTTGAGAACAAAGTTTCCAGCATCAGGATGCACATTCCTCTGTCTGTTTCTGTTGAAGCTCCTGCTCACCTGGAGTCTTTTAACGCTGTTTCAATCGACACCCTCTCTAAAGTTTTCCACAAAATGAAACCCTCCTCCTGTGCCTCAGACGTCCTGCCTGTGAGGTTTCTTAGAGAAGTTTATGACTCCGTAAGTCCATATATTCTTAAATTAATAAACTCGTCTCTTTTAACTGGTTCTGTTCCTGCTGATTTTAGAAAAGCAGAAGTTCAACCACTCTGAAAAAAGCATCATTAGAGCCAAACTGCTTGAACAATTACAGGCCGATTTCAAAACTGCCTTTTCTTTCCAAAGTTCTTGAAAAAATTGTGGCTGAACAAGTGATTGCTTTTTCAAACAATCATGACATTTTTGAAACATTTCAGTCCGTTTTCGGGGCAAGGCCGGGCCCGGGGCGGGCCGTCTTTAGAGTTTTTAATGAGTTGCTAATTGCTGCTGATGCTGGAAAATCTTCTGTTTTAGTTCTTTTAGATCTGAGTGCTGCCTTTGATACTGTCCATCATCTTATTTTACTGGAACGTTTGAAACACTGGGTTGGCATTTCTGGTTCCGTTATAAACTGGTTTTATTCTTGTCTGCATGGCAGGTCTTTTAGCGTCACCATTGGCAGCTCAGTCATCTTGTATCACGCTGACCTGCGGGGTTCCCCAGGGGCCGGTCCTCGGACCACTCCTGTTCTCCCTTTACTTGTTGCCCCTGGGACATATCATCCGCAATCACAACCTGAGTTTTCACTCATATGCGGATGATACACAGCTGTACCTGTCTTTTAACCCCAATGATTTTAACCAATTACAGTCTCTGAACAGCTGCATCCAGGACCTGAAATGCTGGACGGCTCAAAATTTCCTCCAGCTGAACTTAGACAAAACCGAAGTAATGATTATTTGGTCCTGGTTCAGCCACAGCAGCAGCACACTTTAGGTTCATTATCCTGTAATATAGCTGCACAATGTAAACGTCTTGGGCTCATCTTTGATGGAAACCTGAACCTGAACCAGCAGGTCAGCTCAGTCTTGTTTTATGCAGCTCAGGAGACTCTCTGAGGTGAGGTCAGTTCTATCCAGGGATCATTTAGAAATTGTTCTTCATGCTTTTATCTCATCTTGTTTAGACGACTGTAACTCTCTGTACACTGTTCTGAACCAGCAGAGTCTTCACAAACTACAGCTGGTCCAAAACGCAGCAGCCCGACTCCTCACCAGATCCAACAAGAGACATCACATGACTCCTGTTTCAGCTTCCCTTCACTGGCTACCAATTCATTTTAGAATAGATTTTAAGATTTTATTGTTAACCTATAGCGCACGCTCTGGACTGGAACCTCAATACATTTCTGATCTCCTCACCCCGTATGTGGCCGGTCGTAGCCTGTGGTCCTCAGCTGAGGTTCTGCTCACCGTCCCACAGTGGAGGCTGAGGACTAAAGGTGACCGGGCTTTTTCTGTCAGAACCCCACCCTCTGGACCAGCCTCCCTGAGGAGATCACATCTGCAGCACTTCATCCTCCTTTAAAACTCTTTTAAAAGCACATCTTTACAGACGTACTTTTACACTTTTAACTGTCTTCTTTGACTGGGTTTTGTTCTTCTGATATATTTTTATATTGTTTTATTCTCTTTCATGCTTTATGTGCTTCACCTTCATCGTTTCTCTTATTTTGTTGTTTTCCGTACACTTCTCTCTGAATCTGTGCAGCACTGTGTCACCCTGTTTTGAAAAGTGCTATACAAATAAAGTTTATTATTATTATTTTGTCTTTTTTAGATCTGAGCTCCAATCAGAGTGGACCTGGAAGAAACTGTCAGTAAGTGTTATTCATCTGCATACTGACGTCAAAGGGCTCAATAACTGAGACTATAGTGAACAAAGGCATCAGTGACCTGGATGTAAACATAAACAATCAATGACCTGGATGTAAACATAAACAATCAATGACCTGGATGTAAACATCAGTCTGCCTACACTAAAGGTATGGGTACAATAATGTTTATCAATGTGTTGTGTTGTGTTTGATACAAACATAAAAAGTGTCAACAACCTCAACATTAATGTAAAGATGAGGAACAACCTGGATTTGCTCATTAGCGTGAACATTAGCTCACAACAGTGTGAACAGCCTGCATGTTGACAAACATCAACCAATCGATTGATTATCAAGATGACTGGTGAATGGTTGCAGCTCTGAGCCTGACTGACCTCCATCCATGATCTCTACACATCTGTGACTACATTCTGACCGGGCAGAAGTCCACAACGTCATGCTCATCGGTTTGGACTTCCTTTAGCCAAGAACAGTCAGGATCCAAGACAACAAAGATTTGAGTGAAGGTTTTCTGAACTGGCTACAACGAGGATATCAGCAAATACGACTTCAGGTAAAACACCAAGCAACCAGGAATCTGGATATGAACAGGCAGAGCTCCCACAAAACCAGATATTTAGACACCAAAGAGTAAAACAGCAGGATACTAAAAGTGGAAAAAGCCTTGAAATCAATGCAAAAAATGTTAAAAGCCTGGATGTAAGTTTAAAAAGGTATAAAAACAAAAACAAAAACCTGGATGCTCAAAGGTTTCAAAGGCCGAGATAGTCATACATAAAATAACACAAAACCAGGTTTGAACACAAAACCTGTTTTTTAAAAAATGGATGTTCAAGCAAAACACATCAAAAGCTCAGATATTAATGTTGGAAAAACAGATGTGAAAAGCCAAAAGCCTGGACCTTCATATGACAAGATATCAAAAGCCTGGA